CCCCACGGCCCCGGCAGCGCCTGCCCAGCCGGCCCGTGGAGGGGACAGAAGCGGGGGCTGGACCTGAGGCGGCCCCCCGGGGGGCTCTGCTCCCGGCCCGGAGCCCGGCGGTGCGAGGCCGGGAGGGCCCGGGAGCAGCACAGCGCGGTGAGGCGCTTCGGCGACCTGCTGGTTTAACCCCCCTTCGCAGCTCTTTTTAAGTTAAAGTTGGGTAAAAGGGTGAAGGCACAGGTCCCCTCAGCACCACCAGAGAGATGCTCTTGCCCAACAACTCGCTTTGTCCCTATAGCCCCAAGTCCCTTTCACAGGCTTGTTATGTATCCGCTCTTTAATTCTCTCTTTTATCCCTCTCCTGCAGCTGCAAACACCGCCGGCTCTCCAGAGCAGAGATCTGCCATCGTGCTACAGCCACACTTGGCCAGAGCCCCGCTCCCCCTCAGGGCAGGCCAAGAGGCAGCAGAGGGGGGAGCCCCCATAGCCCCCCACCCCAGACACCCTGCACCCCACCAAACCTCTCCAGGGTGAGGAATTTCTGCCTTCCGTGTAACTGCATCATCCCTTGTGGCAATGCAGGACTGTTGCCTCTCCTCCGCTTACTGTGCCCGGCAGACACAAGCCTGCTCCTCTCCTCTCTGCAACCCCCATGCAGGCCTTAGAGGAGCAATGTCAGCCCACCTTTTTAAAATTGTCATACTCTAGACTGAAAAACGTATCACTTTTCACATACCAGCCCTGCCGTGCATAAAGCTAGTCCACTGTTTCCTAGACAATGAGTCTTTGGAGATGACTGTAGCATCAACGAAATTAAATCCCAACCTCCATTCCAGGAAGAAAACAAAGTTGTTATTGCGGGTAAATTTCATTTGAGAATTTAAAAATGCAAACAACCAAATAATGCCATCGTGTTCTATTTCAGCAAAACAAAACACAACAAAACTGTTGACCTTCTTGACAAAAAGGACACAGCTTGCATAAATGTTTCCAAGTGAGAGTGTTTTTCTGTCTATGTTATTTTTATTACTAGGTTAAATCTGACAGTTGCACACAGTAATCATTATGGAGTCAGCTGGAGCTGCTCTGAAGTGTTACCAGCTTCGGTAAGACTTGGGGTTTGTTTTCGTTTGTTTTTTTTCCTTTTATATCCCATGAGAACAACCCTGGGCGTACACTTGAATTTGTCCTCAGCAAAACTTTGCTCCAAAATCCTTAGGTAGAAAAAGGACAAATTTTAGGCCATAATTAAACTTACATTTTAATTCTTACATCACAACAGCAAAATGGAGCCCTGTTTTTATATTATCCCAAGATGAAAAAGCATGAATTGTAACTTATTTTTATAAGATTTGGTACCTCAATTTTACTCACACTGTACAACTTGGAATAATATTCTCAAATCTGATGCATCAAAATGAGGAACTGCAGAAGTTGTTAGACAACTAATGAATTTGGCAATTTATATTGCAGAAAGAAATTGCACATGGGGAAGCAGGCGTACAAAGCATTCTTTGTCAGAGTGACTGCCTTAAAGCTTAGGAAACTGTGGTTTAGCATTTTGCTGAATGAGCTAGTAGCAAAGACCCACCCCTGTTCCTCATTTCCTGGCCTTCACATGGACAACCCAAGTCCTAGGAAGCACACACAACATAATACCCCATATGGATCTTCAGAAGGCTGGTGTCTGCCATCCCATGCAAGCCTCTGAAGAATCCTTTCTAGTATGAAGTAACATGTATGTGCCATTATTGCAAACAAAAAGAGAGAAACAACTAAGCAGTAGAAATCTTTTTTTTCATCTGGTCAATCACTGTTAACAAGGAGGCTCAGCAGTTTCACAACTGGTTTTTGGATTATTTTTTTTTTAATTCTGATTTTTGGAAGCAATTCCTTAATCTCTAAGCTTCATGAGCTTTCATTTACTGTTATAAACGCAAAAAAAAGGAAAAGATTAATATAAGCAACTCTCAATTTGTGGCCTTTTCAACAATTTCTCTAAAATTTCTCTAAATGTATACTTTTGACTGAATAGCCCCCTGCCTCTATGTCTTTTCAGGCTCATGGACATACTAACAGGGATGTCACTACTGATATTGTAAAAATACACTTTAATATGCTTATTAACTGATACAGATACAGATACAGATGCTAACATTGATAACATGAGGTGATTAACTCATGTCAAGGATTGCTAGAGCAGGTAATTAAATATTGGAGTTGTTTCCCATTCACCTCCAAAAAAAACCTACAGACCAAAGACACAGAAAAAGAAGGTTAGGCTTATTCTTGCCTATGAGAAGGAAAAACGTTATTACTGAGGTAGGGATGCTATACTCTAATAAGCAAGCACACCTGTTACATTCAGTTACTGTAAAATTATCCCTAAACAGCATATAGGTTACTGCAAGGGAGCTGCACAGTCTGGAAGATTCTGAATTCACACAGACTGGATTTGATCACTCTGTCTGGCTGCAAGATTCAAGTCAGGTTTTAGTCATAAACTCCTGGAGAGACTTACGAAGAAGGTAACGTTTTTTGTCTGTGGGTACACTTCAAGAAGTGATTAGCTGCTGTCATTCTCATACGCCACCGTTCAGCAGCACGGATTTGCATTCAGAGTTAGCATTAGAGCTGCCTGCGAGCGTAGCTGCGAGGAAGGAAGGCACTGCAGATGTTCAAGGAGTCCGCAAGTCACAGAGGCAGGGATAACCATAATGAAATCCAGGTTCAAAGCTGTAAACACTGAACCAACTAAAAGACTTGTTTCTAGAGTTCAGAAACAGCAAGTTTTGGAATGCTTTTGAACCTCCACCTGGGGCAAAGATTGGGGAAATAAAAAAGCTGCTCGTTTGTCCCGACCAGATTCAAGGAGGTTTCCCTGCTTGCTTTCCTTTAGCAAACTCAAGTCAGAGATGCCATATGGTCAGAGAAAAAAGGGTTAGGAGGATGAACTCGTGCTGACGACACTAAAACCAAAATTGCCTTTAAAAGAAAATCATAAAGGCCTGTTGTACAGACAGCAAAGACAATAAAACAGCCTGAAAAATCTCAGAAATGCTACAGAGCGGAAATCTACTGTTTCTAACCTCTCTGAGCAACCTGCTACTTAGGAGACTGTATAAGATTTTATTTTAAAAAATTAGCATGACAAAAGATGAAAATAGACAAAACTGCCATTGGGAACTACAAAGATGGGAGCGTGTGCAGAGAACAGACTGCTGGAAGATACAAAACATAAAATAGGGCATATACTCAAGGGAGCATAAATCCAGAAAGCATCTCAGGTGAATTAAGTAGTTAGCATTGGATTTGGAAAAACAGCAGTTTAAGGAAGCACCAAGAAGAACTTAACTATCTTTTCTATAGGCTGCAATAGAGAAAGAAGGTAAAAGAACTGTAAAGGGAAAAAGATTAGATAAGAGACAAGAAGCTATAGGCCCTTTAAAAAAAAACCAAACAAACAAACCCAAAACACAAACCAAAAGATTTAATTAAATTTTAACCTTCAATTCTGAACTGCTTTACAGAATGTTAAATACCCTGGTGTGGAGGATTTTTGCATTGCTGTCTTCAGAACATTAAACATTTCATTAATTTTCATAATAACAGTTAAACCTTCCCAAACGTTCTGTAACATTAGCTTCCATTACATCCTCTGTGTAAGAGGTAAAAATCACCTCCATTCTGCAATTAAATTACTAAATTTAAAGGAGAGCATCAGTCCCTCCATCTCTACCAGCTGTACCCTCAGGAGGAACGGATGAAACGTGCTTGTTAAAGTCCCTTGATCTTCAGTGGCAAGCCCTTCTTACGCCCTTTCTCTTACTCATCCAACAGTAGACCATGCTTTTTAAAAGCTCTACTTCCAGTAATTTTCTTAGATACATGAGTTCCTTTTGACGACTCACATCC